CCAGTCCTCCACAGGGCCCCCCACAAAATCTGGGAAGGTTCTACCAGTGCTCTCAAGAGAGAGATCTAAACGAACACACGCACAAATACATGCACCCACTCCCACTCATCCACATGGCACCCCCACACACCATCCTCCACAGGGGCCCCCACAACATCTGGGAAGGGGTTTGTTGCCAGTCCTTTGCGCGGTCTGTCGCTGCCCTGGCCACTCAGTCGCACAGTCCCTACCGACGCATTGCGCACCATCGCCAGACTCTCAGGGCCACTCACTCCCACGCCCGCCCCCGCACTCCCCACCACTCCAGCACTTGCACTCGCCGTCCTACCTACACCCATACTCGCGTTCCTACCTACATACACCCCCGTAGCTCCGCCCCCACCCGCGGCGCTGCCTGTGCTGTCGCCTGCGTGTGTGGTGGTGCTCTGTCCGCGGCTGCCCAGGGCTGAGTTTGTGTGTGGTGTGCCTGTACCACTGCTTGTCCCACCCAATGTGTGGGTGGCTGTGCCTGTCCCTGTACTGCTGCCGTGGGCGCCAGTGCCTGTGAGTGGGTTAGCGTGTGAGGGGTGGGGTGTGTTGCCGCTGTTGAACAGGGGAGTGGTTAGAATGGGCTGTAGCTCGCCTGCGTGTCTGAAGCGGTCGGAGGAGGTGAAGTTGAGGAGACCTGAGCGGTCGAAGAGCTGAGGCGATACGACTGTGCGCAGGTGACGCAGCAGATCAATGTAGATGTGCAGCATATCAATGTGAAGATTGTCCAGCAACGCCACATTCACCCAATCCTGCGTGTGCGGAGGGAAGTGTATGGATATAAGTGTGTGTGTGTGTGTGTGTGTGTAAGTGTGTGTCTGTGTGTGTGTGTGTAAGCGTGTGTAAGCGTGTGTGCGTGTAAGCGTGTGTGCGTGTAGTGTGTGTAGTGTGTGTGTGTGTGTGTGTGTGTGTGTGTGTGTGTGTAAGAGTGTCTAAGTGTGTGCGTGTGTGAGAGGAAGGGCATAGCAACAAAGAAAGGCAAAACTAAGGGTGAGCAGGCGGGTTTGGTATACACACGCAAGCGTTCGCAGGCAAATGTGAGACACAGTCGAGCACCCAATCTACTACCTACTACCATTTGCAACCAATCTACTACCTACTACCATTTGCAACCAATCTATTACCTACTACCATTTGCAACCAATCTACTACCTACTACCAGTTGCAACCAATCTACTACCTACTACCATTTGCACCCAATCTACTACCTACTACCATTGGCAACCAATCTACTACTTACTACCATTTACAACCAATCTACTACCTACTACCATTTGCACCCAATCTACTACTTACTACCATTTGCAACCAATCTACTACCTACTACCATTCGCAACCAATCTACTACCTACCATTTGCAACCAATCTACTACTTACTACCATTTACAACCAATCTACTACCTACTACCATTTGCACCCAATCTACTACTTACTACCATTTTAACCAATAACCAATCTACTACCTACTACCATTCGCAACCAATCTACTACCTACTACCATTTGCAACCAATCTACTACCTACTTCCATTTGCAACCAAGCTACTACCTACTACCATTTACAAACAATCTACTACCTACTTCCATTTGCAACCAATATACTACCTACTAGCATTTGCAACCAATCTACTACCTGCTACCATTTGCAACCAATCTACTGCCTACTACCATTTGCAACCAATCTACTACCTATTACCATTTGCAACGGGACATAATAACTTGTTCTGATACCAATAAAATGTCTACACACACAGCAGTACTGCCAAACATGCCACCCAGCTGTGTACTCAGGTCAATGATAGACTGCGACGACATGAGCAACCCAACGGAATGCCTACACACAAACGCCATAGCAACCGGACATCTACACCCCCAACAAACTCACATCTCATGCACAACGGAAAGTTTATCTAGGTCAGTCAAAAGAGAAGCATCTATATATGACTCAATAGAGTAGCACACAAGCACATAACACATATGAGTATACACACACACTCACTCACTCACTCACCAGAAGTTTGTCGTCCCATGCGTAACGCGTAAAGATGCGTCTGAGCTGAGTAGCGGAGGTCTCCAATTGTGACCGAATCAGCAGGGCATCATGAGGCGCAGACGACAGGCGCAAGCGACTTAGCCTACATAAGTGCAAGGATAACGATATGTGATCAGCATGGGCAGATAGGCAACAGGTACAAAGATAACAATAAGTGATCAGCTACACGTGCAAGAATAACGATATGTGATCAGTTACACGTACAAGGATAACGATATGTGATCAGCTACACGTGCAAGAATAACGATATGTGATCAGTTACACGTGCAAGGATAACGATATGTGATCAGCTACACGTGCAAGGATGACGATATGGGCAGATAGGCAACGTTTGCAAATGGTGAACACAACGGAACACCAGCAGCCGCACCTCAGATATGCTACCCAAACCACGCCCAGGAAACGATGAAGCATGCCAATCCAATACAATCACTGGCCACCTCCAGTTCCATAGGGGGTAAGAAACCCTATACCCCAAACCTAAATATCGTCGTACCTACCACAAACCCCAAGAAACCCAACAACTATACCCTGTGTCATAGCCCCCATTTCTAAGCCACAAATAAGGTGACTAGACTATCAACTGTGCTTAAACTCCGCGTGTACCTGTGTGTGTTGAGTATGTTGTACCTGTTTGTGTTGAGTATGTTGTACCTGTTTGTGCTGAATATGTTGTACATGTTTGTGTGGAGTATGCTGTACCTGTTTGTGTTGAGTATGTTGTA